ACTACACAAACACAGCATCCACTACACAAACACAGCATCCACTATACAAACACACCCACATCATCCACTACACAAACACACCCACAGCATCCACTTCGCAAACACACACACAGCATCCACTACACAAACACACACACAGCATCCACTACACAAACACAGCATCCACTACACAAACACACCCACATCATCCACTACACAAACACACACAAAGCATCCACTACACAAACACACACTCTGCATTCACTATACACACACAGCATCCACTACACAAATACACACTCTGCATTCACTATACACACACACACAACATCCACTACACAAACACACGCTGCAATTACTATACACACAAACACTATATCCACTACACAGACAGACTGTATTCGCTATATACACACACACACTACATCCACTACACAAATACGCAATCTGCATTCACTATTCACATACTACATCTAGTACACAAACACACACCCTGCATTCACTATACACACACTCTATCCACTACACAAACATACAATCTGAATCCACTGTAAACAGCGTATCCACTTTACTCACGCACTTTGTATCCACTACATACATTCTATAGCCACTATACACACACAAATTCAGTACACACACACTTCATCCTTGTGGGTGGACTTAAGATGGGCCCTGTGGGTGGATTTGGGGGCGGGTCACGTGGGCGGACTTGGGGCATGTCATGTGGACTGACTTGGGGGCAGGGCCCGGGGGGCCCAGACCACGGGCTGCGTCACCATAATACCACTACAGGGAGTGCAGAATTATTAGGCAAATGAGTATTTTGACCACATCATCCTCTTTATGCATGTTGTCTTACTCCAAGCTGTATAGGCTCGAAAGCCTACTACCAATTAAGCATATTAGGTGATGTGCATCTCTGTAATGAGAAGGGGTGTGGTCTAATGACATCAACACCCTATATCAGGTGTGCATAATTATTAGGCAACTTCCTTTCCTTTGGCAAAATGGGTCAAAAGAAGGACTTGACAGGCTCAGAAAAGTCAAAAATAGTGAGATATCTTGCAGAGGGATGCAGCACTCTTAAAATTGCAAAGCTTCTGAAGCGTGATCATCGAACAATCAAGCGTTTCATTCAAAATAGTCAACAGGGTCGCAAGAAGCGTGTGGAAAAACCAAGGCGCAAAATAACTGCCCATGAACTGAGAAAAGTCAAGCGTGCAGCTGCCACGATGCCACTTGCCACCAGTTTGGCCATATTTCAGAGCTGCAACATCACTGGAGTGCCCAAAAGCACAAGGTGTGCAATACTCAGAGACATGGCCAAGGTAAGAAAGGCTGAAAGACGACCACCACTGAACAAGACACACAAGCTGAAACGTCAAGACTGGGCCAAGAAATATCTCAAGACTGATTTTTCTAAGGTTTTATGGACTGATGAAATGAGAGTGAGTCTTGATGGGCCAGATGGATGGGCCCGTGGCTGGATTGGTAAAGGGCAGAGAGCTCCAGTCCGACTCAGACGCCAGCAAGGTGGAGGTGGAGTACTGGTTTGGGCTGGTATCATCAAAGATGAGCTTGTGGGGCCTTTTCGGGTTGAGGATGGAGTCAAGCTCAACTCCCAGTCCTACTGCCAGTTCCTGGAAGACACCTTCTTCAAGCAGTGGTACAGGAAGAAGTCTGCATCCTTCAAGAAAAACATGATTTTCATGCAGGACAATGCTCCATCACACGCGTCCAAGTACTCCACAGCGTGGCTGGCAAGAAAGGGTATAAAAGAAGAAAATCTAATGACATGGCCTCCTTGTTCACCTGATCTGAACCCCATTGAGAACCTGTGGTCCATCATCAAATGTGAGATTTACAAGGAGGGAAAACAGTACACCTCTCTGAACAGTGTCTGGGAGGCTGTGGTTGCTGCTGCACGCAATGTTGATGGTGAACAGATCAAAACACTGACAGAATCCATGGATGGCAGGCTTTTGAGTGTCCTTGCAAAGAAAGGTGGCTATATTGGTCACTGATTTGTTTTTGTTTTGTTTTTGAATGTCAGAAATGTATATTTGTGAATGTTGAGATGTTATATTGGTTTCACTGGTAATAATAAATAATTGAAATGGGTATATATTTGTTTTTTGTTAAGTTGCCTAATAATTATGCACAGTAATAGTCACCTGCACACACAGATATCCCCCTAACATAGCTATAACTAAAAACAAACTAAAAACTACTTCCAAAAATATTCAGCTTTGATATTAATGAGTTTTTTGGGTTCATTGAGAACATGGTTGTTGTTCAATAATAAAATTAATCCTCAAAAATACAACTTGCCTAATAATTCTGCACTGCCCGTACACTTGGTGCCTGAGCCTGTCTCCACAACACCACTACACTCAGTGCCTGAGCCTGTTCCTATAACACTACTACACTTGGTGTTATGAAGACAAGGAAGGAAAGGGAAAGGGGAAGGAAAGGAAGGGAAGAGCCCTTAATTGTTTTCTTTTGCTCTTTGGTGTGCTTTTAGTAAGATAAGATATCTGAGATATCTTGTATATGTTACTAATGCCCGTTTTTGCACATCACGGAAGACATAGACATTTTAATTTATTTTTGAATCTTTATTTTTATCACCAAAGATGATCTATACATTAACATAGAAAATACACACGCTGCCATTATTACATTGTCCAGTAAAATTTTTAAATTGTCATGCATAATCATTGACATACCTGTCCCTTCCTCCCAGCGTCATGCAGAGAGACGGTGTGGGAGGAAGAGGAGGCAACCACGGCCTGAGGGAAGAGGAGCACTGCAGGAACTGCTCCAGACTTCTTAACTCCCTCAAGCAGGACCAGGACTCCAGGTCACCTTTCTGGACGCGCAAGGTAAGCTAACAGGAGGGGGGCTGGAGATATAAAAAAAATCACTTGTGTGTGAGTGTTTGTATGAGTTTGAGTGTATTAGTGTAAATGTGTATATTAGTGTGAGAATGAGTGACTGTGTATATGTGTGTGTGTGTGAGTGTGTGTGAGTGAGTATGAGTGTGTGTGTGTGTGAGTATGAGTGTGTGTACTCATCTGTGTATGTTTGTGTGTACACATTTGTATATGTTTGTGTGTCTGTGTGTGTATCTGCAGTGGCATACATACCGGGGTCCCTGTCAATGAGACAGCCACTAGAGGCTGGATTAACCCTCAGTGAAACTGCTATATTTTCATCTGAAGGGTTAAAACTAGAGGACCTGGCACCCAGACCACTTCATTAAGCTGATGTGATCTGGGTGTCTGTAGTGGTCCTTTAAGTGTATGTGTATCTGCATGCACTGGCATATATACCGCGGTCACAGGGGTCGCACCCCTGCGACCAGGTGCCTGCTGCCATGTGTTGCGGCCCCAGCCTGCGCAGATTAAGCGCACGGGGGGTGGGATACACGGATCAGTTTTCGCACCGGGGCCCATGGGTTGTGTGTACGCCACTGTGTATCTGTGTCATGGTGTGAGCATGTATCAATGTATGTATCTATGTGTGTGTATGTGTCAGTGTTTTTATATGCATCTGTGTGTTAATGTTCATGAATATCTGTGTAAGTATGCATGTATGTATGTGGTAGTGTATGTGCTTACATCCAATCAGTCAAACACCAGCACAACATACAAGCACACTCCTGCAATCTAACACAAATATTATATACAAACACACCCGTGCATTTGAACTAAAAATAAATATATACAAACACACACCTTCACTCAAACACAAATACTTCACACAAATGTACATCCACATTTAAAAGTGAACATTACATTCAGACACACCCCTGCAATCAAAGCAAACATCACATACAAACACACCCCTGTATTAAAACACAATAAATGTATGCAATCATCCCTTTAAACACCAACACTGTACATTACACTATAGCGCCTGTAAATGCAGATTTACAACCTAGAAATTTTGACTTGGGGTGCCTTGGAAAAATACTGAAATATTAAGAGCGCCTTGAACCTAAAAAGTTTGGGAACCACTGGTCTATAGCCATGGGCGTCCGCAGGGGGGGCAAGGGGGGGCACTTGCCTCCCCCAGGATTTGCAATACCGGCGCCGGCCAGTAGGTGGCGATGTGTATGGAGAGAGACAGGGATAGGAAGCTGCATCTTATCCCTGCTTCTCTCTGCTGATTGAAACCGCAGGGGAACAACACATGCAGCCAGAGACAGCCTGATCAGATCAGGGGAGTGAGGGATGGGGTGGCAGAGACAGCCTACAGATCAGGGGAGTGAGGGATGGGGGGGGGCAGAGACAGCCTGATCAGGGAGTGAGGGATGGGGGGCAGGAGCAGCCACAGATGGGTGATGAGCTGAGAGTGGGATGGGGTGGGGATTCAGATAGCCTATAAACTTGGGGCAGCAGCAGCAGCAGCCTATAGACTTGGGGGGCAGCAGCAGCAGCCTATATACGCAGGGGGCAGCAGCAGCCTATATACTTGGGGGGGGCGGCAGCCCATGGGTGGGGGGGCAGCAGCCTTTAGATTTGGGTGCAGCAGCCCATAGATTTGGGGGGGCAGCAGCCCATAGATTTGGGGAGGGGGCAGCAGCCTATAGATTTGGGGGGCAGCAGCCCATAGATTTTTGGGGGGCAGCCTATAGATTAGGGAAGTGAGCAGATTAGTGAGCCTATTGCATTAGGGTGTGCACCCTAAATCACAAACACACGCCATGTGTATATGTATGTATGTGTGTGTGTGTATATATATATATATATATATATATATATATATATACTGCTGTGTATGTGTGTGAGGGTGCTGGTAGTGTGCTATGTGGGTGACGGTGTTTTTGTGTGTGTTTGTGAGAGTGCTGTTAGTGTGCTGTGTGTGAGGGTGCTGTTTGTGTGCTGTGTGTGAGGGAACTGGTAGTGTGCTGTGTGTGTTTTGTGTGTTTGTGAGGATGCTGTTAGTGTGTTGGGTGTGTGGGTGTTGTATGTGTGTGGGTGCTGTGTGTGCGAGAGTGATGTATCTGTGTAGGTGCTGTGTGTGTGTGTGCTGTATGTTTGGGTGGAAGTGGGGGCAGATTAGTTAATATCCCAGTCCTGCTGCCTTCCCTGGTGGTTCAGTGGAGAGTGAACTCTAGCCCGGGTTCTCTGCTGCCTCCCTCCATGCTGCTGTGGACCGGTGAGGTAGAACTTTGATCTCCCCACCGGCCCATGGAGGCTTAGACCAGAGCCGCCGCTCGGATAGCGTCGGCTCTGCATGAGCCGACCTGGGAGATCCAGAGATCTCCCCTGCCGGTCTCAATCCATTGGTGTGCCGCAGGGATTAGGGTGTGCCCAGGCACACCCAACACACCCCGTGCGCACGCCTATGGAAGTGAGGGATGGAGGAGACAGCCTACATGAAGAGTCAGCAAGGAGCAGGAAGGTAAAGTGAGAAAAGGAGAAGGAACAGAAATGAGCAGGAAGGGACATCAAGGAGCAGAAAGGGGCAGCAAGGAGCTGGAAGGGACAGCAAAGAGCACAAAAGGTAAAGTAGGAGAAGGAGCACAAAGGAACAGAAATGAACAGGAAGGGTTAGCCAGGAGCTGGAAGGTAAAGCAGCACAAAGGTAAAGTAGAAGGAGCACAAAGGGTCAGAAATGAGCTGGAAGGGGCAGAAGGAGCACAAACATAAAGTAGGAGAATGAGCAGGAAGGGCCTGCAAGGAGCAGGAAGGGCCTGCAAGGAGTAGTAAGGAGCACAAAGGTAAAGGAGCAGAAAGAATCAGAAGGAGCACAAAGGTAAAGTAGGAGAAAGAGCAGAAAGGGACAGAAAGGAGCACAAAGGTAAAGTAGAAATGGGAGCAGAAAGGATCTGCAAGGAGCAGAAAGTGATCAGAATGAGAAAGGAGCAGAAGGGCGCAAAATAAGCAGAAAGTAGCAGAAAGGTAAAAGAGCAGAAGGGGCCAAGGATAGAAAACAGTGTCAGAAGAAAAAAAAAAGACTGTCAAATGAAGGAGAGGAAAAGGAGATTGGAGCAGGAAGGACAAATGAAGTGAACCCTCCACTTTATTCTGGACACCACATCATAAGGCTTTGGTACCTGGGCCAGGCAGGGAAACACTGGACCTTCTCATCTCCAAAGGTAAAAAAATATCAGTATTAATGTGTTCACTTTTATTTACTGAGTGTCAGGAAGCACAGAGTGCCGTTGGGTAGGGGTGTTGCTGATTGGCTAGAGCGGTCAGCTGGCACTCTAAGCCAATCAGTAGCTCCCCATTCATAAAAAAGTTAAAATATTTTATGAACCGGGAACTAGCGATTGGCTTAGAGCGTCAACTGTCCACTCTAGCCAATCAGCGGCACCCATGCCTGACGTCAGTCTGCACTTCCTGACTCTCTGTTTCAGAAGCCAAATACCACTGAGCGACCTGGAGCTGCAGGAAGCCTTTGAGGTTAAACCATTTGAGAGCGATTTAACCCCTTAAAGGAAAGCGAGCACTCAGGGGCTTCCTGGCATCATAGCATTTTCATTTAGGTGAAGTTGTTATAGTGACCAGAATGGTCCTTTAATTTGCTTAAAGGAACACTATAGTGTCAGGAATACAAACATATATTCCTGACACCATAGTTGTGAAAACGCTATTCACCCTGGCTTTATGTGATAATGGCTGTGCCCCTTCCCTTTCATGACACTGTTAAAAAGGTACCAAGCATGGATGTCATTACAATTATGCCCCCCCCCTGGAAAAATTCCTGCGGACGCCCATGTCTATAGCATACAAGATGTCTTTCCTACTGAAATGATCAAAGATATGAAATTCAATTGCTGAAGAGGTCATGTTGTCAGACATTGTTAATAGATCTCTACAGGAAATTACTATTTATATCTATCTGCAAAAAAAGACTCACAGGCTCTAAGACTTTAATTTGAGAACAGGTATAGAATTGATCCAGGGAGAAATCAGCCTGCAATCTTCTAGTTAAGAAAGAGCTTCAATGTAATTGTTTTGGATCAGGAATTGCAAAAAGAAATTGTGTGAACTTGATTGACTTATTTTTTTTTCTCAACCTTACTTGCTGTGGTACTAGGCAATCCTTCAGGTTGAAGATTATCCATCATTGCCATTTTAAACCCGTTTGATTAGTCACCTTGTAAACCAGCATGCTGTATGAGTGGATTAAATAGTACCACTGGCTATTAGATGTATATATCATCATTATTAATTGGGGTGTTAAATAAATTATGACGTAGCAAAGCTATCCAACAAAGAGAATGGGAGCAACAATTCATGTGAATAACTTAATCATAATACAATAACTTAATGATAATGCAAATGTTGCTTTAGCTTTATGCCCATAAAGTACTTTTTTTAATGGTGGTCGTCAATGAAGCTCCTCCAAATTATTTATATATGCACATTATATAAAATATTTGCGAGAGGTCTTTTTTTTTTTTTCTCCTTTGAACTAGTTATTTTGGAGGGGTGCGGTGGGAGGGATTGTTTTCATAAAGTAGGTATTAAAATGTATTTCAAATGTATAAACCTAATATAGAATCTTGCAAATCCTGATTGTTAAAATTATGAGACCTCTCTCCTTTCACCATGATCAAATGATGAAGGGCTCATTTTTCTAGAGAATCTGTCCTTTCCCAGAGACTCTATATATTAGCCCTTCATTATAAGACTGGGAATATAAATCCATTCACACACTAAGAATATGCAAATAAATATATTCAAAGATCAAAATAAAAATTGTACTCATTAACATTCCAGTATTTGCCTCTCTTTCAGTTTTTCATGAGCTTTGTTTAGATCAGACAGTGGCTTAGTCAATCCGGAGGTTCACACTCTATTCAGGGTAGCCTAAACAGTGCCATAACCTTCTGCTCAGTTGGTTAGGGTTTTTATATTCAAGCACTTGAAATCAATTTCATTCATCAAAGGAATATGTATACTGAATGTGAACACTTGTGCTGGGTAGAAACGTTTGGTTCTTCCAAACTACTTCAGCAGAAAAAAAAAATTAGTACGGCAGAAAAGGAAGCTCCCACTTCAGCAATCGTACAGGTGATTTTGTTAGCCTGCAGTTTTGACATACACGAATTTCAGCAAAATATTCAAGAGTGGGCTGGCAGACATGTCCCTGGGATGATGTGGGCTGGGAGTCTATCTGTTCTTGTCACCTAGTGGCGCTAGGTTCAGCACCCTTCCTTCTCTGCTAAGGATGGTAGGTAGTGATGGGGTTATCTATGGTGGCATTTGGTTGTGCAAATCAGATACAGTGCCAGTAAACCTACTGCCTGCCTTAGTTATTTCCTTTTCCACTTCTTCCCACAGTAATATTGAGTTGTGTTGTCTTTGCAGATGTTGGGTCATACTGCCACTAGTGAGATAACCCTTCTCTTCCTTGCCGTACAATTTACATTTTGCAAATTACCTTTCTGGGAAGGTGTCAAAGTAATGCCAAACTTTGCTTTGGTGCAATGTATTAGCTCAACCATTTACTTTGTGGCTGGTGAAAATGTGAGATGATCTGCATCAGTTATAGGGGGAGTTGTTGCAACACTAGCTTCTACACCAGCACTTGGTTGACTTATGGTAATGGAAAAGGGAGGTGGTGCGGTTAATCATAATCTAACTTAATGAGCTACTTCTAGCACTGGTAGAAGATGATGCTCCAACTGTTTCCATTAAATGAGGTGATTCTACTACAGGTAGAAATAGAAGTAGACTGATTGGTGAGTGCACGGTAGATGTAGAAAATAGAGGCCTGCTACCTCTCTTCTTCGGACTCTCGTCCAGGAAAAAGTGATGTTATCATCACTACATTCCTTATCAAGACCAGACATTGGGGACACTACTACCTACCTCTACAGGAAACAGTGGCAGTGATGATTTTCAAACACTGTCTGATCCAAGGTGCATGCATATCCAGTCATACACTAAAGGTATGGGCAAGATTGAGTCTAGAAAATTATTAATTTTTCTGTTTTTTTTTTCATCTGCACTAGTTGCCACTATTAGCAACAGACAAAGAAATAATCAATGTGTTTTTCTTTGATTTTCTTTGTGCCTGGCAAACTCTCTTTTCATACATAATTTGATAAAATTGGCCCATGAGAGACTGGAAAAATAACTTTAAAAAAATCAAACAAATGTTACAAGTGCCAAAAGTGATATAAGCCCATGCTGCAAAATACTCCTTATAACAACTCTTTGTTCATGAAATATCAGTGACATTTTCAGTAAACATCCTCAGATTTTTAAAAGCATCTGGTTTTGCTCTTCGAGCAAAGAGGAGCATTTGGTCATTTAGAAAGCACCCAGAAGCTATGTCCTGCAGAAGGACATCAAAAGGACAGGCGAAAAAAAAAAAGAAAAAGTTGCAATGTCCATCTCTTATTCTAGTACGAGGAGATGTTGAGAATAACCCTTCAGGCTCTATTTTGCAAGATATATGGCTTCTCTGTAATCCCTTTCTTTCTCTGAGTTCTAATTTAAGAAGTTTGCTTTTTTTAAATCTACACCATGGGTCGTCAACCTGGTCCCTACCGCCCACTAGTGGGCGTTTCAGGATTCCAGGTGGACGGTAGGGATTTCAGTGGCTAAATACTCGTTTTGTGAGTGTAAAGGATTCTCCTATACTCACCTGTGTTCCTTCGGTTATATCCTCTCCCTGCTGTTTAACTAATTTTGGATGGTTTGTTTAACTCCCAGAAAAAGGATTTGCACTTTTAAATTGGCACTTCGGATGCAGTCGAAGTGCCGAAGTAGTCGAAGTGGTCGCCATTCGAAAACCGAACACGTGGTGGTGGCCATTTTAATTTAGTCGAACACGGTCAGCGGTGCGTGCCACTGAATCTATGGAACTAAAATCGTCTACGCACTTGCACGAACACTGCTGACCCTTACCTTCTCAGGAACTTCAACGCTTTGGCTGGAATCGAAGTGCGTTTGACAATTCGAACACACTGTTAGACTGGGCTATTTCCACGAACGGCCCCATTCGTGCATTCGAATGGGACTTAGACATTTTTCTGTGTGAAATTGACCGACCACACAGCCCAAATCTATGGAACTGTTTTGGGCAGGAAAATCATAAAGGACTTCCGTCTAACTTTTGATCTACTGAAGGGATTTGTATGATTTTGGGGTATGTTGCTCACATCACCCTCAGCTACCCAGGGATATGTTTTTATGTTGATACATTATGTATAAAGTATATTTCCAATAATTGTGAAAGATTTTTACTTTTCTGGCCACTAGATAATTGAGTTTGATAAGTGCTCAAACCCAATTATCTAGCCTGGCCCAGAGGAGGGGTTATGTATTGTATAAATTGAATGCCTGTTGTGTCCAGTAAATCAGTCTTGTTCCAGCATTAAGCTTTGGTTCATGTGTGGATTATTTGGCGATACCAGCGATATTTATTC